AGAATGCATGGATTTGCGGGGAGTGGGAGCACAGCTGAGAGTAGCTTGTCCGATGCGGTGAGGGTCGAAGAAATTTGAGTAAAGGCACTTGGTAAGGGCGCTGTTGTCTCAGGTCTGTGGGCCATATAGGCTCATTGGCGTCAACGACGTCAAGGAGTAAGTTGGAGGTCGTCGAGAGTGATGGGCAGCAATGGGTTACGCGGTCTGCATGATTCTTTGATCCGTGGTACCCACCACAAATGGACTCACTAGACCAAAATTCTCAAAGTGAATCACTGCAAAACTGATTCACTCGATTCTATTGCGTTGTCGCTGTCTACAACGATGAGCAGCATTGATCATATGGACGACAAGTATTGAAGTTATTATTCGTGCTTTTTGAAATCTACAATATAACTTCTCGCAACAACCACAGCGACGATGACAACGAGCCCAGTTCAACGGCAGCTTCCCAGTGCCATGTAAATGCTATCATTGTAGTCGACAACGTTGAGAACGTTGAGGAGCACTGGTAAGACTGTACTTGGAGTTATTGGCTTATTATGTAATCGTCGACTCTTTGAAACCCTTCTTCATTCAGCGACCTTGTCATTGTGCTCAGCGTCCTCTTCGCTGTCTTCCTCATCGTTCCAATAGCTTTTAAAATGAACCCGTCATCCCGCCCAGCATCTTCCTCGACACGTCCTGCAGTATCACCAAATTCTAGACCTCAAGTGAATACCCACACAAAAGTCTTAGACACTACACACGGCCGCATTCTCTGCATCGCAGACATCCGTGGTCGCCTTTCTGGCCTAAACGATCTCGCGCGCGAGGCTAATGCTAAAGCTATCATCCATACCGGTGACTTTGGTTTTTTCGGTGAGCATGGGCGTCTACCACAATAACCGTTTTTTTGTGCTTGACGCGTTTATTATATGTAGAAAGTAACAGCCTGGACCGCATAAATGACCGCACACTGCGTCATTTGACCATGTATTCGCCACTAATACCATCCACCCAGCGTGCCCACTTCCTCGCACCTGACAATACCTCCCAAGCAATCCGCGCCACCGTCGATATTTCCCTCCTTTCTGAATTTCCTCTTCTTCTCTCAGGTCAACTCAAGCTTTCTGTCCCTGTATATACTGTTTGGGGTGCTTGCGAGGACGTCGTCATTCTCGAAAAATTCCGTGCTGGCATTTACAACATCGACAACCTCCACGTCCTCGATGAAGCAACCACTCATTGTCTTGACGTCGGAGGCGTCAAGTTGAGGCTTCTCGGTCTGGGTGGTGCACTCGTTCCCCACAAAATGTTTGATAATGGTGATGGCAGCGCAACAATTGCCGGTGGTCAGGGCACCATGTGGACAACCGCACTCCAGATCGGTGAGCTCGTCGATACTGCTCAGCGTGTCTTCGATCCCACCGAGACCCGTCTACTTGTCACCCACGCAAGCCCTGGACGCGAAGGCATAATGGCTCAACTTGCACTCGTTCTCAAGGCTGATCTCTCTATCAGCGCGGGGCTTCACTTCCGTTATGCCTCCAGTTATAATGAGTTCAGCGTGCAAAGCGACCTAGAAGGCTTCCGTCACAAGCTCATCGCTGGAAAGGAAGCATTTGATAAGGTTTGGGACAGTGTGAAGCAGCAGGTAGACACCGTCATCGATGAGCATCAGCGAGTCCTACTTGACAAGGCCCTGAGTGTCATTGAGAGGCTACCAAATGTACAGGGTCCAGAAGAGCCTTCTTGGAAAAACTGTTGGAATTGGAACCTATGTGACGCTGCATTTGGTTCACTTGTATTGGATGTCAAGGATGGCAGAATCAGTGCCGAGTTGAAGAGCCAAGGTAAGCCATTAATACACTAGCTGACGACCTTCACTAAACGTTTTTTAGGTTTCAATTATGCGTATCGTCGCACTGCAACGCCCAGTAATGTTGTGCCAACACCCAATTCAACGACGTCCTCACTACCGAACGCTACGTCGAACCCACCCACTAAGGGTTCAACACCCGTTCAGGCTGAAAAATCCCTCTCGCCGCATCCAAAAGAGATCAAATCTCCTCTGGTCCCTGTAGCATCTGGCAAAGAGACACCCAAAGAGACATCTCCGTCCACACCTGCTCCCAAATCTAACGGGAGTGGAACACCTGCACCGCCATCAGATAAGGCTGAAAAAGAGAAGCAGAAACGGAAAGAGAAAAAAGAACGGAAGGACCGTGAGCGTACGGAAGCGAAGGAGAAGGAGGCTTCTACATCCGAAGAGAAGGCTGATCCTGCTTTGAATGCACCTGCTCCAGCTCCAGCGTCTGCTTCTGCTTCTGCTCCAACTCCAGCTCCAGCGTCTGTACCCACCCCTGCATCTGCACCAGAGCCCAAATCAGGCAAGGCAACACCTGAGGTGCCCACTGCTGACGTACGTGAAGGGATGAAGTCGCCAACAACGGACAGTACCGGCACGAGGACACCCACAAGCAAGCGATCACCGAGACATCCATACACATTATTTGTCAAACTCCCTCAACAGTCAACGGAAGCAGATGTCAGGACATTCTTTGGCGGTGAGGCAGCGGGAGTGACAAAGGTGACGTTTCTTGCGAACAAGGGGTCCCCGCATCAACGTGCTAGACCCTTTGTTTATGTCGAGTTTGGTGATGATGAGACCATGAAGGCAGGATTGGAAAAGAATGAGGAGGTAAGTCATCCAAATATCGCTTGTTTCAGTGACTGATATTTCCGGTCTAGAAAATGGGCGAGGGTGCGGTCAGCGTGCAGATAGCGACAGACCGCGAAGAGCGCGGTGATAGAGGGGTTCGTGGTGGTCCTAGAGGACGTGGGCGTGGTGGATTCGCTGCACGGAATTTTGCCGCAGCCGGGCTCACCCGCGGCAGCACGCCTCGCACGAACGGCGAGGCACGCGAGAGCGCTGCTGCATGATTGGCTCACGGAGTGATTTGATACGACCCTTTGACGACATCATAGGTTTTCACTTTTCCATGATTATCAATGCCATGTCATGTTCGTCTGTTTTCTTTGTTTAGGCTTTTCACCTGGAGCATGCAGTTTTTCATATAACCGTTGAGGGTACGGTATAGTTTTTGTTGTACTCGTCAAATCATGTCCCTTTATGCACTTTAATATTGAGCCATTGACTGGTCAACTACCCGACATAAGTATAGGAGAAGATCCGGTCAAGCGACCATGCATGTGATTACTCGGACCAGTATTTGATGTCATGCGGCTGTATTTAATTGTGCGCAGTGCGCACGCTTACTTTCTAGTTTTGTTCTTCGCTTTCATTATGTTCCGCGCTGCATCATGGTCACTGCGAGCTACCAAGTATCGTCCAAAGAGACTTGTCGAGCCAGCTAGGTACGTGGCCTTGCAGGGGCCGTACAAGTCGTTATAATCCCTTACCCAGAATGTTCTCTGTGTCTGCAATACGGACAGAGGGATTCCGACTGAACTCGCTGGACACATTCACGGAGGAGGAGAACATGTTTCGCGATTCGGGTATGTTGATTTTCGTATTTACTTGCGTTCATGACACCAACGACATATGTTTAGTTAAGCGCTTCGCGGTGGACGTTGTTGGCCCCAAGGTCCGCGAAATGGACGAGAAAGAATCTATGGACCCAACTATCATTCAGGGTCTCTTCGAGCAAGGGGTCAGCATCCAAGCAGTTCTCCTTCCCAAGTGTGCTGACGCCACTCTGTAGCTCATGGGCATAGAGACAAGTGCTGATCACGGAGGTGCAGAGGCCTCCTTTGTATCCGCAATTATTGCGATTGAGGAGCTCGCGAAGATCGACCCCTCCGTATCTGTCATGTGTGACGTGCATAACACCCTGGTGAACACCATTCTGCGCAAGTTCGGCACGAAGGAGCAGCAAGACAAGTGGTTGCCTCTGCTTTCGGAATCAAAGGTGAGTTGAACAGGAATTTTTCTGCATGTGCTCATGTATGCATATAGCTTGGTTCGTTTTGCTTGTCCGAGCCTGCGTCAGGTTCAGATGCTTTCGCGCTGCAGACAAGGGCAAAGAAGGACGGAGACCACTGGGTGATTAACGGGTCCAAAATGTGGATCACCAATTCGTATGAGGCCGAAATCTTCCTTATCTTCGCGAATGTGAATTCTACTTGTTCCCACTCTACGTTATTGGCTGAAAAAGCCCCTAGGTCGATCCAAGCAAGGGCTACAAGGGTATCACTTGTTTTATTGCAACGAAAGATATGGGCGTGCAAATAGCCAAGAAGGAAGAGAAGCTTGGAATTAGAGCGTCATCGACGTGCACACTTAATTTTGACGATCTCCGAATACCAGCTGAGAACATCATAGGCGGTGAGGGCAAGGGCTACAAGGTCAGTAGCTTGATCCAGGCGAAAGAAATTTAATTAAGTTTTTTCTAATCACAGCTTGCCATCGAAATTTTGAATGAGGGTAGGTAATATTCGTTGTCAACACTACGCAGGCTCACTTCTGCAGGTCGTATCGGTATCGCTGCTCAAATGTTGGGCCTCGCTCAAGGCGCGTTTGACAAAGCTGTTCCTTATACCTACCAACGGACTCAGTTTGGTCAGCCAATTGGAACTTTCCAGGGCATGCAGTTCCAAATTGCAGAGGCTGCAGTTGAACTCGAAACTGCTCGTTTGCTTACATACAATGCAGCACGGCGGAAGGAGGAAGGTCGGAGCTTCACGAAGGAGGCGGCAATGGCCAAGTACTGGGCTAGTCAGGTGGCTCAACACGTGAGTGGGTCGGCTATCGAGTGGTGTGGAGGTGTCGGATTCACAAGGGAGACGGGGATTGAGAAATTCTGGCGAGACTCGAAGATCGTGAGTGACGCTCTAATTGAGTGGATTGTATTATTTAGCTGGTATGCATTACAGGGTGCAATCTATGAGGGGACGTCAAATATCCAACTGCAAACGATCGCAAAGTTCATCCAACAAGAGTACTCTCGATGACTATAGGTTCGCGCTATCAATGAACAATATTGCCAAATAGTTCGTCAAGTTTGCATGAAGAGCAGCATTCCTTCAAATACAGCCCAGCCAATTGCCGAGCTTAGGATTTTCCTAGACATGCGGAGAGATGCGCCATCGAAAAAACCAGCTGCACCACGTTGCTGTGAATTTGATGATGAGAATACAACTCAAGCATGTAAACCAGCGGGACCAGCCTTGAAAATCCTTATGACAGTCGTAGTAAGACCACGGTATCTGTCTTCTGAACGAACTTGCATTTTTGTCTGAGTAAGCCATTAGATATTCTGGAAGGAGAGACAGCTTGGAGAAATGACCTTTATAACATCAAATGGGTGTGTCGCGATCGTGGCAATGGCACCTGCAGATGCTGCTGAGAAGCTGTGTATGCCTGCTGCATACGCTGTTGGGATGAAGTATGCTGGAACACATGAGTCAGATTCTTGCATCACCAGGAACGATCTCACTTGTCTCGCGTTTAATACCCTCGTATATGACGACGAATAGACCAGCATATGGTGCATCCCGCAGCGACGATGCAACAAATCCGCGCATAAGTTCAGACGGTCCCATACGGGTAATGGAAAGAAGCGAGCCTGATAAACTACGATATGCATGCAACTCACTCTGCGTAATGCTAGGATATCAAAATCACGGTGGTTTACGCGACCGCACGAACCTCAAAACGTGCTTTCAAGATAGAAAATGGGTTGAGGATCAATCCGACTCCGACTCGAGCGGTCGCGCCTGCTATGAGGTTGCCCTGACTAGACAGCTTCGGAAGGACAGTTTTAGAGTTGTCGCGGCTGTGCCGCTGGTGTGCGGAAAAATAGGGCGACTTTGCCATGACAGAGCGTAGGTAAGTCAGGCTCGTAAAGTAGAGGGCCACCCCTGGAACATTGCTGGTACAGAGAAAAATCATTGGCGAGAGAGATGCGAATATAGTGTAACGCACCGAATCAACGTGGCACTTGTACCCGTCCATAACCCTTTTATGCCCTCGTTCCGAAGAATGTCCTCAGTCGTACGCCATATGATGGTTGTATTGCTTCAGAGACATGAGCTCTTGAGCAGTACGGTCATACGTGAAGCTTACCGGGCATTTAAAGCAGAATCCCCTTGTTGAATCCTGGTTTTCAAAAGGTCGACTGTGCACCAAGTTAAATGAAATCGGATACCAAGAGCTTCCACAAGTTTACTCACGAGGCTGTAACAAGATGGCTCCCGCGAACCCAGAGAGGGCGCCTAAAAAGTCAGAAGACGTCAGAACAAATTATGTCATGAGAGGCTCATCAGCTGCTCTGACCCGAGAGCAAATGCTGACCGACTGCAGCATTTTTCATAAATGGAGAGTGAATGCGTCAACAAAGAGGACGGCACGAAGCACCTCAGTTACCAAATTGAGTAATTTTAGGACGCTGTTTAGCAGTGTCAGGACCTACTTACTTACCGCGGCAGCTTCAAGCAGTTCCATTTTTCTTGCAACGATGGCAGCTGCTTCAGGGGAGCAATCAGTCGTGAACAAAAACAAGAGGCATCGCAAGGAGAAACGTAAGTTTTTAAATCTTCCTTAACCTTCTGTGAAAGCAACTTTGTGTTTTAGCATGGGACACCGATGATATCGACCAGTAAGCATTGCCTTCATGTCAGTTAAAACTTCTTCTTACTGTAGTTCCTTTGCAGTGTGAGCATCGTGATATTACTTTCAGCACGTGCTCAACTCTAATCTAGTGGAAAGTTGAACCATTTCGACCTGATGATAACAAAGGCGGTGTCTTTACAGAAGAGTCATCTTTCGCTACGCTTTTCCCGAAATACAGGGAGAAGTACCTGAGGGAAGTTTGGACCGCCGTGACTAAAATTCTAGACCTACAAGTGAGTGATTGCAATTTCCGCTATACTATTTAATCATCAGCGTCCAGGGTATTGCGTGCACGTTGGATTTGGTCCATGGGTCCATGTCCGTCCGGACGACGCGCAAAACATTCGACCCATACATCCTACTCAAAGCAAGAGATACTATAAAATTACTCGCAAGAGGGGTCGCAATCACTCAAGCCCAGAAGGTTTTACAAGACGACGTAGCTTGTGATATCATTAAAATCGGTAACCTTGTTCGTAACAAGGACCGGTTCATCAAACGGAGACAACGAATCATTGGGCCGGACGGCAGTACACTTAAGGTGATCATCGAGTAACTTCGACTGTCTCAATGTCGTTAACGTTTTTCAGGCTATTGAATTATTAACGCAATGTTACGTTCTCGTGCAAGGAAACACCGTCTGCGTCATGGGTCCATACAAGGCACTAAAGGAAGTCCGGCGCATAGTCGTGGATTGTATGAAAAATATCCATCCTATCTACCGCATCAAGGTACGTATCCTAACGTTTTTTCTTCCCGCATTTTCACTAAATATTCGCAGGAACTGATGATAAGGAAGGAACTTGCAAAGGATCCGAAGTTGGCAACAGAGTCCTGGGACCGGTTCCTACCCAAGTTTAGGAAGCAACGCCTGAAAACCTCTGATAAGACGACCAAGAAGAACGAGAAGCTCGCAGCTATGAAAACAACGAAGAAAATATACACACCCTTCCCTCCGCCACAGCAACCACGAAAGGCAATTTACATTGCCGCTGTTTGTCGAGTAGCGCTGACGTTATATGTCCAGGTTGACCTTCAGCTTGAGTCAGGAGAATATTTCCTCAAGCCCCATGAGCGGGAGGCCCGGGAAGTGCGACGAAGAAAACAAAAGGTGCGTGTTTTACTGTGCGGTCCACAACAGATCTAATTTATCCCCAGCAAGCTGAAATGATGTTGAGACGACGAGCGGAGCGGGCAAAAGTATGCATCGCTCCCGAAGAAGAGACAGCCCCTACGATTGAAAAGAAGCGAAAGCGACGTCATACAGAAGTGGATGGCGACGATGGGACGGCGAAGTTGATAAAAAAGAAAAAGGACGTTGTAGAAGGTAGTGAGCCGTAATGGACTCGGGCGTAGCTATTTTGACGCGGCACTGACGAGTCTTGACGCGGCTACTGACGCGCTAGTGCAAGTCATTTCTATGTTCTATATTCGACTTCCACATCAAGTTGTATGGGTTCATGATCATTCCTTCGTTGATTTTATTCACCATAGGCACATATACTACTAGCTAGTCCTCAGCTGATGACTATTTCCTTGGAACTGACGCGGCACTGACAAGCCTTGACGCGGCCACTGACGCGCCAGTGTTCTACACTAAGGACACATATTACTAGTCGCATCAGCCGATGACTATTTTCTTTTCCTCCCTCTCTGGACCCTCTTTGAAGCACGTCGACGCTTAACGGTGCGCATTCTTCAGCTGGCAGTGAAGGCTGACGTTTCACGGGCGCAATCTCTTCTTCAGCCGGCAGCGAAGGAACTACAACGTTGGACAACTCGTCTGCAGACGTGGCATCAGAGTTATCGCTGAATAAAGGGCCGCGCTGTCAATCACACCGGTTAGAGATCTATTGAACAGAGCAGGTAATATTTTCCTTACTTCAAGTTCGCTCTCGCTGTAATCTCTATCCAGAACCCACTCAGTAGGAATATTGAGACACATGTTCCACTGCCTGTGATGTTGACCAGCATCCAAACCCCACTGCCGGTTGCCTGCAAGTCCTGCTTCTTCGGAATCCTCGAACATCCTTCCTTCTAGTGTGGTCAGACACTCGAGGTCTACGTCAGCCACGAAGCTGTCGGCAGGATAGCTTATCATGAGATCAGCCCAAGCCACCTTCAAAAGCTCACTATTGTTCCATTCCTCATTCTGAGCTTCGATGCGTTTTTTGAAATAACCAGCCTTTCGATGAACAACAACAAAAGTGAAAGCGTGCACTGAAGGCATGCCACCGAGCCATTTTTCGACTTGACCGGAGGCTCCGGGAATGCTCTCAGCGAACCAACGTGCGATTTTTGCATACTCGTGAGATGAGATGTCGCCACAAAATGGTATGCTGTGTGAGGCTGTCACGGTAACAGCCAACACTAACAGTCGATCAGACAGAGGTAACGTGGATGAGCGTATGGATTCGGCGGTAAGGTAGAAGGGTGAGATATGTGTACAGGGGAAACCGGTCTTATATATGTAAGAGAACAAATAAGAAACAAACAACACGCAGTGTCCAATCATGACGTCGCACAGACAAATGACGTCGCTCATGACGTGTAGTAAGCAGTATGCTTACACCCTTCCCCACTATCCTTTTGACCTCTCTTTCTCCCAAGTGTCCAACGCCTCGCAGTCTTCTAAGTCGCGCCGAGGTAGCCATTCGTCGTCTTCTTCGCCAAAGCCAACCCAGCGGACCAAATACTTCTTTCCTCGACCCACTTTACGTTCGTCGACGATCTTCTCGATGAAGTTTTCCAACTGACCATCTGCGGTTACGACAGGTCCTGGACGAGGAAGTTCGCGCGTAGGAAACAAGCTTGCGTCGTTTTCGTAATACGCACGCAGTTGGCTGATGTGGAATGTCGGAAAGATGTTGGGGGAATTTGGTAAGTCTAGGGTGTATGTGGATGTCTCGGGATGAGCGTCGAGCACCCTGTAGGGACCATCGTAACGTGGCATGAATTTTGCAACGCGTTTATCGCCCTTCTGGATATACTCCCGTCGGCGGTGCTTGGTTGCGAGTAACACGCGGTCTCCAGGTTGAAAAACAATCGTGGGTGCACGGCTCTTGTTAACTTGAGTTGCTTGAGCGGCTTTTGCAGCGAGGAGGTTATCTTGAGCTTCCATGACGTCGTATTTGAGTTGCGATAGCAACAACGTAGCCCGCTCTTCTTCAGACCCGCTAGCATGAGGAACACCGTCGTCCACCAGAGGTGGTAACATGCGAGGTTGTCGTCCCAGGTGTAGCTGGAATGGGGAAAAGCCAGTGCTCGCATTCACTGTATTCATGATGTGAAAATGCACCTGGGGAAGAGCACGAACCCAACCCTTATGGTTCCGATTGACGTAGTAGCGCAGACACTGATTGACGGTTTTGTTGGTACGTTCACTAGCACCATCTGTCTCAGGATGGTACGCTGACGACATTTTCATCTTAATACCAGTCAGCTTGTGTAATGAGCGCCAGAATTTAGACAGGAAAATCTTATCGCGGTCGGATATGATCTTCGTAGGTAATCCGTTTTCACAGTACCAATGATCGAAGAACAGTGTCGCGAAGTGCTCGGCGGTGATGGTGTCCTTGCATGGCACCAGCCGTACGTCTGCGTTCAAACGATCCGTCATCGATATTAACATGTTGTACCCATTGTCGTCAGGTAGAGGACCAATGAAATCAATTGCAACAGAGTCTCCGCGCGTCTCCGGAATAGGCAATGGGTGTAAGGGACCTGCTGTCGCTGTTGTCTTCGACTTGTTTCTCATGCACTCCGTGCACGACGGGATGTATGATTCAATCAGATCCCGTCTCATGTTTGGCCAGTAGTATGCCCCGCGTAGCAATGCATACGATTTGTCTGCACCAAAATGGCCAGCAGCGTCATGAGCGGCATGAAACAAATGCTCACGAAGATTGTCAACACGCGGAATCACCAGGCGATCTGCAATGTGGAACAAGCCGTTCATGTCCTTTCGAAGCCCTGGTAAGGAGCCGAGGAGACTGTCCGGCTTTTGACACCACGAGTCTTCCTTGTAACCTTGCAGGATGCGTCCTTGCAGCGCAGTATCTCCTTGAATTGTTAGCAAGGCTGCGCATGTATCAGTTACCATATCGGAGTCCTTCCGTCGCGACAGAGCATCTGCGGCCTCGTTCTCCTCACCCTTGATATAGTGAATGGTGATGTCATATTGGGACATGTATTCAGACCATCGTGCTTGTCGCCTCGACAGGTCTCGTTGGTTTTGAAAGTTTTCTAGGGTGCGGTGATCAGTATAAACGTCAATGTGCGCACCCAAAAGTTCCAAGCACCACTTCTTTAACGCTCTGATGATGGCAAGCAGCTCCTTCTCGTGCACGGGGTAGTTAAGTTCTGCTGCATGAAGTTGCGTAGAGTTGAAGGCGACTGGCCTAGCCGACTCGCGTGTTGGGCCCCAGGACAGCAAGGCGCCCGTGGCGTAGTCTGACGCATCGCACATCAAGAATATTTTATTGTCACCTGGATCGTCATGGTCAATTGTCGTTAGGCATCTGGGACTTACGACAAGTTCTTTTATGGCATTGAAAGCAGCCTCATGTTCCGACGTTCATGCAGGAAATTTCAACTCAGCTGCTTTCGTCGTCAACGCCGTAAGAATTCGCGTATGTCTTGCAACATCAGGTAGATGTTCTGCAAGATAGCGTACGATTCCTAGGAATGACCGAACATGCATCACTTTTTGAGGTCGTGGCCAGTCCAAAATTCGAGCTATCTTGGAACTGTCAGCCTCGATACCTCTTCCGGAGATGTGATGACCCAGGAAGTCGATTTTGGTGTTGAAGAGTGACATTTTCTTCGTGGAACAATATAGATGTGCCGTTCTCAACGCTTCGAGTACTTGTTGCACGTTCTTCTCGTGCTCCTCGATTGTCTGGGACCAGATAATGATGTCGTCGAGGTACACGTGACAGATCTTCCCTATCAAATGACGCAAGGCTGCTGTCATGCGTCATTGGTGTACTGCGGGTGCATTCCGCACCCCCATCGGCATAACGGTCCATTCATACTTACCCCAAGGTGTGTGTATAGCTAGATACTTCATATCGTCTGGATGAACCCGCGTCTGAAAAAATGCATTAGTCATGTCAATCTTTCCAAAAAACTTTCCCTTAGCGCAGTCTTTGAGTATCTCATCGATGCGTGGCAGCGGGTGATTATCTGCGACGGTGTTAATGTTCAGTTTACGAAAATTGTTTACCCATCGCAGCAATACAGTTGGGTCTGGCTTCGGAATGATGAAGGACGGCGAGGACCACTCGCTGTCCAAGTGACGCAGACGCCCGCTGTCCACGTGGGAGTCCAATAACGTCTTCCAGGCTGCGCAGTATTTCTTGGGACAATCATAAGAGCGGAGTTGAACTATTTTATTAGCATCCTTCAGGTTTACCCGAAACAACACGTCTGTTGGCATCGTGTCGTTGTGCGGGATATCTGTAGGAAAACAATCTTTGAAAACCTTTTTATACTTATCGTCCAAGGCTCTAAGTTGCTCTTGGTACAACAAATCGTCTATGCGTGACTGCACAGCCCCGACGGCGTCTATACCGTTCACTGGTTCGCACTCGCTGTTGATGATCTCTTTCAATTCCGGCAAAACGGACTTGAGCTCGTTGACGACATCTCTCTTCATCCAGAAGAGTTGTGGACCAGACGGCGAGATATGAGGTGATGGTGGCGTGTCGTTCTTGGGCTGCAAGAGATCATAATTAGTGTCTTTAGCAACACATGTACGTAGCTCATGGTCTATGACAATTCGATTATGTTGGAGAAAAGGACCTCCAAGTAACAATGGAGTACAAAGATTCGGTGCGATGATCGCCCGTACAGTTTGAGATGTGTAAACTTGGTCGAGCGAGGTACATGCTAACTTGACGTATTGCGAGAGAAGAAAGGATTCTTTGTCTTTAGACAATGCGAGAGAGACAGGTAACGGTTTTGATAGTTGACGCCGGCGTAATCCGAGTTTGTTGACGAGTTCTTCACCAATCAGAACTAAAGAAGAGCCATGGTCAATAAGAGCAGAAACGTTTATAGGAAAAGCAACGGCAGGCCCGTCAACAAGACAGTCCCAACGAAGGTGAGGGGTTTGTAGCGGGGTCACGCACTCTTTGCCCGAGTCAGTACCATTCCCCAATACTGCGGACGGCATCACCACTGCGACCGTTTCAGCATCTTCATTGACATCTACCGCGGCCACAACGTCCTTCTTTTTCGTTTTCTTGGCCAAGACAGCACCTGCTGTAAGTGTCTTGTAGGACGCGCCATCTGGGAATCCCGTCGGACAACTGGTCGACACATGTCCTGCGAAAGGCTTGCGACATTTGAAGCAGCTGTCGTTGTCCCTCAACAGCTGGCGTTCTGTATCAGTAAGACTAGGGAGTCATGTGAACGTCTTCGCATTGCTGTCCTTCGCCTGGGTAGTATTGCCCTTGGCATTGTTGCGTGTGTTAGCATTTGACTTCTTATCGGGAGCCGAACGAGCGCGTTCCGTACATAGTGCACTCTCTACTGCTTCTTTCTGCCTCACGAGATAGCGTAGACGCCTGTCATCGAGGATTCAAACCTTCGCGATCCATTTGTGTAGGTCTTCCTCAATGATGTTCTCTGCGTGGTAGTCAGCGGCAAGGTCAACGTTCATGTGAGACTCAAGGTGGTAGAGAATGTTGATGTCCGCGAGGTGAGAAGGTGTCCCTCTAAGTAGCGTGTTTTGACTCTGTACGTCTATAGCCCACTCGCTAAAGGCGCGTTGTCCTTGCGTCGAGGCTAGCATCTTTCTCCTGATGGTATCTGCCCAGGCAATGGGGAGCCAAATTTCGCGTACTTCTGCCATATACTCCTTGAATGTCATCAGGTCAATTTCGTCTTGGTTCGTCATATACCAGTCCTGGATGCGTGGTTCTTGTAATCCCCACGCAACCTTTCGAACCATTTCGTCTTCGGGGACGTCCTTGTGCATGAAAAACTGGATGCACCCCATCTCCCATGACCGTAAGGCATCAGGCGTTATTTCTCCGGCGGTGAGAAGAGGAGGCTTGCTAGCAGAAGACTGTTCACAACGTGCAGTTTTGGTCGATGACATGATGGAAGTGATAGGGGTATAATCGGAGTCGCTTGATTCCGAGTTAGTGCGTGTATGCGCTGTGTTCGGCACGAGAACACTCGGGCTCTCCGGAGAATGTGGAATGAACGGTGACAACACCCGCTCAGGCAATGGTGTTTGGTTGTGTACAGGAGGTGTGTCGGTAATCGTCTTCCCGAGCTTGGAACGACTTCTTGTCGTTATAGAAGGCAAGGGTACGGGAATACGAGAGCGGCAGGGAGGCAGTTTGAAAGTTGGTAAAGGCGGCGGGCTGACCGGATGCGGTCAATACCCGACGGTTAGGTTTAGGTAACGG